CAGTGAGTATGTTGTATGGACACACCGTCCATCCGGACTACTGTGCATATCTTAGACTAGTTCCTCTGTCGCTTTGCTGATGTCGTTTGAGTGCCACCTACAACGGGGAGAGGATGATGCGCCGGTAAAGAATAGAGACAATCTGGCGTCGGGTCATGTGTAAACCGGGAAGTTCCACTGCGAGACGAACTTACCTGGCCGGAGCCAAATTGGAAGCTTGCATCGGTTTGCCAGATTGCACCCAAAATTCAAGTTTTTTAAAGGATCATCCTCATGCTCGCTATAAACCTTATGCCCGGCTTTGCCGTGGTTGTCTCTAGATCGGGCCTTCTGGACATGATTCTGAGGGCCTTGAATCGCAGCGCGGAGCTTGTTGCAACGAGAAAATGTAGCTGGATCTAGCCCAGAATATCATTCTGAACTCCCAGTGATAAACCCCGAACCCGAACTAACAGCTTCCTGAGATCTGTCCACTTGGGATTGGTCTCCAGGACACGCTCTCGAGACGGTCTTGGGGTTTCGGATTCCACATCGCTTTGGGTTTGAGGCTTTAGAGTCTTAGGGTTTAGGATACCCCAAACTCCACAAAAGTTGGATTTCAAAGGACGTAGAGTTACTCTATATAAGTCCTTTGAACTCCAACTTCTGTAGAATTCAGAGTGAAGCTAAATTTCTGGGTCCAAAAGCACAGAAAGCCTTGGAAGGAGAGTGACGGTCTGTAGGATCCAACACCTTCAACCTTGAAGGTCGGCGTCAAGTTAGGGTTTTTCGGGGGTTTAGGGGTTTAGGGATTTAGGGGTTTAGGGATTTTATGGGTTTAGGGGTTTAGGGAATTTAGGGGTTTAGGAATTTAGGAGTTTAGGGATTTTAGTGGTTTAAGGATTTTAGGGGGTTTAGGGATTTTAGGGGTTTAGGGATTTTAGGGGTTTAGGGATTTTAGGGATGTCAGGGATTTTAAGGGGTTCAGGGATTTTAGGGGTTTAGAGGCCTAGGGATTTGAGGGATTTTAGGGGTTTAGGGATTTAGGGATTTTAGGGGTTCAGGGATTTTAGGGGTTTAGGGTTAAGGGCCCTTTTTTGTATACTATACCCGCAAATCCTCTTCTAATGAACAACGTTCCTACATTAAGGACTGAAATTTCAGTGTCTCTAAGAATCTATGCTATCAGGAGACTGAATCGGTGCAGCAGTCAGAAGTCAACGGCCGTGGGAAATAAGGTTGAACTGATAAGGCCAATGGTGCAAAGAGTGGGGGATGTCTAAGCGCGAAGGAACAGGAGCTGAGAAGTATTGGTGGTTTTCTGAAAGCAGCAGCAGCACGAGGAGTGGCAGCAGCAGCAGCAGCAGCAGTAGTTGTAGTAGTTGTAGTAGTAGTAGTAGTAGTAGTAGTAGTAGTAGCAGTAGCAGTAGTAGGAGCAGCAGAAGGATGAGGAGGAGCAGGAGGAAGCCAACAGTGCGAAAGTTGGCGTTTCAGCTAAGGTAGCTGTAGGTGTCGTTGTCTTCTTCGCCCTCGTCCTCGGAATCATAGCAACAAAATGGCGCGACCATCGCAAGGGACAGCGACAAAGTTAACGACAACATTGTTGCTGCATACGGCATACGACAAACAAAGCACCGATCGGCTGTGACGGGAGAAGTAAAAAAACACAACCTAGAGCTATACGTATGCTGTAAACGTAGACTTCGAGAATTGCTGCAGTACTGCAGCAACATACAGCTGCAGTACAGTACCTAGCAGCAAGAACTGCTGCTGCTGCTGCTGCTCCTCCAACTTGGAAGACGACTAAGCACTGCTACTTCCACAACGAGCTGGGGATTCAAGCAGTGCCGCTATCCATAGGGCCGACGACCCTTCGTGAGGCTCTAAGCCTCTAAGCTGAGAAGCAATGTTTCGAACCAACCCGTGCAGCAGAGGATGAACAGCAAGCCAAGGCTTGGAGAGTCTAGGGTTCAAGGCTCAAAGAGTTACGGGTATAGTCAGCAACAGCACCACAATCTGTGTGTGATTTCCAAGGGCCATTGATAGAGAGTGTTGCGGGTTGAACAATCCAGCCAGCCAAGTCTCCAATCACAGCTTCCCAAGCCCGAGACTTGAAAGATCGTCCAACTCTTCGCATGAGAGATATATTGTATATCATGTAATTACATATTCGATATTATACTCTTGTATAATTCTATCATTCTATATTGTTTATATACAATACGAAGGAGCTGTGGGAGGCCTACAGTGTCGGGATCAGGCTCGCGCTTTTGTGCGATGCGCAAGGTTTTGTATGGGTTTTGCGTGAGGGCATCCTGTAAAAAAACACGCTCCGGTTTCCCAAAGAGATCGGTGACGAAGTGCTGTTCTCCCACGCGACTGCCGTGGTTTGTTTTATGTGTATGTATCGTCCGTATCTGTGCAACGGAGGGTTGTTCTGCATGTCGTCCTGTAGCGGGCCGATATCGGAGTACATGCTTGGGTGGTAAAGCAACAGCTGGTCTTCGCACATCCTCCGGAATACCTACTGCAAGTAGACACAGCAGCTGGCCTCACTTAATTATTAGCAAATACATCCATGTTTATGCCAAGACGAGTAACAAGAGTAGTGGCAGAAGGCACCCCCCCTCCTGCCAACTACACGTGCCCTAACTCATCTCAAGAGCACATCCAATATTCTCGGTATTTGCGGAACTTTCGTAATGTCCTACCACTTCTTGTTGCCTCACATGTCCGCTTGCCGACTTTGCAAACTCGAGCTTCCAGAACCGTGGTTTGATAAGCGCAGTTGCCAGGTGAGGTGGGTGGGGGGTGGGGGTGGGGGGAGAGGAAGTCGTAGAAGAAGTAGTAGTCGTAGTTGTAGTAGTCGTAGTGGTAATAGTTGTACAAGTAGTAGTAGTAGTAGTAGTAGTAGTAGTAGTAGTAGTAGTAGTAGTAGTAGTAGTAGTAGGAGTAGGAGTAGGGTAGTGGTAGTCGTAGTGGTAGCAGTAGTAGTAGTAGTAGTAGTAGTAGTAGTAGTAGTAGTAGTAGTAGTATCAGTAGCAGTCGTAGTAGCAGTAGTAGTAGCAGGAGTAGTAGTAGTAGTAGTAGTAGCAGGAGTAGTAGTAGTAGGAGTAGGAGTAGTAGTAGTAGTAGTAGTAGTAGCAGGAGTAGTAGTAGTAGTAGTAGTAGTAGGAGTAGGAGTAGGGTAGTGGTAGTCGTAGTGGTAGCAGTAGTAGTAGTAGTAGTAGTAGTAGAAGTAGTAGTAGTAGTAGTAGTAGTAGTAGTAGTAGTAGTAGTAGTAGTAGTAGTATCAGTAGCAGTCGTAGTAGCAGTAGTAGTAGCAGGAGTAGTAGTAGTAGTAGTAGTAGTAGTAGTAGTAGTAGTAGTAGTAGGAGTAGTAGTAGTAGTAGTAGTAGTAGTAGTATAGTAGTAGTAGTAGTAGCAGGAGTAGTAGTAGTAGTAGTAGTAGTAGTAGTAGTAGTAGCAGTAGCAGTAGCAGTAGCAGTAGCAGTAGCAGTAGCAGTAGCAGTAGCAGTAGCAGTAGCAGTAGCAGTAGTGGTAGTGGTAGTAGTAGTAGTAGTAGTAGTAGTAGCAGCAGTACTAGTAATGGTAACAGCTGCAGCTGCATCAGCCGTTACCTTAATGATACTAGCTACCATGATTTCGGCAGCAGCACATGATTGAATTGCTGAGGTTAAGTTCAGTTCCTTTCGATGCATGTCTTTTCGACGCAGCGGCATGTATCTGAATGCCATACTCACAGCTTCATCTCTGAGCCCTTGGCGCATGTTGTCAGCACTTCGGGCTCTAAGCTGCAGCTGGAAAATGTTTGGCTTCAAGCCGTGATGTAGCCACCTCCGTGAGGGATTGAACCCTAGACCCTGAGCCCTGAACCCTAAACCCTAAACCCCAAAACCTAAAGCCCAAGAGAAGGAGGCAACGAGCTAGAAAGCTCCGAGCCTGGGGGCCCCTCAGCCCTCAACTCCAAATCCTAAAGTTGCCGCTCTACCCAACACCCTTAAGCCACGCAGCTAGAGACCGGGCCAGGGTGGGTGATCACCTGGCTCTGCTCGCGCCTGGCTCCCATCGTCTCGAACTCCTATCACATACTAGAAGAGATTATCGTACACTACACGACGACAAGAGTATATCATACACTATACTACTACAACAGATTATCATACACTATTATACACTGTCATATACTATAAGTGACTGATTACAATGTTCTCATACACTATAATACACACCGTCATATACTATAAGCGACTAGTTACAATGTTCCGAAACGGCCTGCTTAGTGGATCTGATGCTGCTTGTGTTTGTATCGAGCCCGCTCCCCATAGCGGCACATGTTGTGGCTGTTGATGGTTGTGGAGCTGGTCCCCACACATATCTACATCGTATGCATAAGGAAATAGAGAAGTAGATGATAATTACATAAAACACAGAGACGTACATACATATATATATATATATATGTATATGCTCCCCCTCATTTACCTACGTTTTGTGCTTGGTCATGTTCAACTGAACGAAATTTTAGAGGTTTCTATATATATATATATACATATATATATATATATATATATGTGTGTGTTTGTGTGTTCGTTTATGTATGTATGAATGTAAGTATTTGTTTGTTTGTTTCTATTTCTAGTTCCGGTTATAGTTGTTTGTTGATTTAACACTTATTTGCCAACATACATCGGTACGCTCTTGCAGGCCTTTGAGGCACCAAGTCCTATATGGGAGTTTCCGAAAATAAGGGGACCCTAAGATAGCACCCCAAATAGAAGGATCCCTATATTAAGAACCCCAAAATCTGTACCCCCTATTCTCGGGAACTCCCATATCGTCCATGCCACCAGCACTCTTCTGGTTGTTAGCTCATGTCCGTGGACTGAGAACCCTGAGCCCTCAATCCTAGAACCCCAAACCCTCAACCCTGAACCCCTAAACCCTAAACCCTAAACCCCTAAAACCCCTAAAACCCCGAAACAGTGAGGCCAGCAGCTGTTTTCGTGTTTAGCGCCGTCATGGAAGGCTGGCCGGGGGTGAGGTCAGTGTTTCAGGAACAGTGGATCCAGGATTTCGGGTTTTAGTGGTTCGGGATTGAGGCAATTGGGGTTTAAGGGTTTAGGATTTTGGGGTTTGGATGTTTAGGCTTAGGTGTTTTGAGGTGTTCTGTTTGAACTGCGGGGGTTAGGGTTTTCGTTTGGGGGGGCCTCGGTTTCTGTTTTTTCAGGTGTTGGGTTTTCGTTTGGGGGGTGTCGGTTTCTGGTATTTCAGGTGTTTTGGGTTATTGATTCAGGGTTGAGGCAGTTTAGGCCCGGTAGCCTGAAGTTGCGGTTAGGGTTCCGAGCTTTCCGGAACTCTGTCGTCATCGATGTGAAGGCTGTACCGAAGAGGGTAGGATTTAGGGCAATTTAGGGTTTAGGGTAGTTCATCGGCAAATCCATTGCCAACAACTTGTGTGGGACGGGTGTCGTATCGAGTTCAGCTTTGCATGCAAAGTTTTCAATAGCAGCGGCGCACACATTGTTACAGCTCGGGCCGAAAACAAGCATGCTCGAGCATTGAACGTTGCAAGGCCGCTTGTCCTTTCGCTACAGGTCACTGCTTGCCGAAGCTTGGCCCCAAGCCCCCACTTCTACTAGCAGGCTCTACAACAAACAAAATTAAAATGTGAATCCACTCGACCTAGACTTCGATCCTGTCATATACTGGCAACCTTGAGCTGCTCAATAATACTGGCCAAAGGTGCTGCTGTGCGAGCAGCGTGCCCCGGACAGAGATGCCCAGAGTTTCGTGCGGCAGATATAGTATGTGTGTATATATATATATATACATATGTATGTATTTGTACATGTGTATGTGTATGTGTATGCATGCATGTCTCTGTCAAACTGTGTATGAATGTACGTATGTACATATGTGTACTATATACATGTATGCCCACGTACGTAGATACATGCATGCATACATACATTATGCATACATATCTGCTTTGTCAGGCATACACACATGTGTATACGTATACAGACAACTATACATGTATGTACATATTGTTTTAATGGATATAACTATTTGTGTATTTGTCTGAACTCTTTACGAATTAAAAAGACTGCATGTTCCTGGTAAAATGCCTGAAAATTTAGAAAGAGGTCCTACAGTACATGTTGATGTATATATATACGTATATTGTGTGTATATATGTAATATGTATACCTTCCATGTTGTTTGTTTCTCCCTCTCTCTCCCTCGCCCTCTTTCTGCTGTCCTTTGGATTGAACTCCCAATTTGCGGCCCTCGACAGAGCCGAAACAGGGATTGCCCTGGCAGCCGTGTAAACCCTGAGCCCTAAGCCAGAAACCCCCTTAAACATGGAGATCCGAGCCAGCGCGTACATACTCAAACACCGGCATCTGTCCAGATCGATGCTTGCGAAGCAAACGGTGGCATGCAATGCTCAAGGATGTCCAATTGGAGAAGTGCCTCTGTGTTACTTAATGTGGTCTTCAATTTCGTCGCGTTGTTCCTTCGAATTTCCGACTTAGTTTTGGTGGCATCAGAGTTTCTTGTATCTTATACTGTATGATCGTGTACAACATATCATGGCATATCGTAGGATATATGACTTTACATGTTGCATGCTGTGGCCCTAAACCGTAAATCCTAAACCCTAAACCCTAGACCCTAAACCCTAGACCCTAAACCCTCAACAGGTACACTGAGATCCTCTCTCAGGCACACCGTGAGAAGGTCGGCGCCTTGATCGCCTCGGAACCCAGGCACTTGGCTTGCTTGTGCTGTGAGGGTGTCTTTGTCATAGTTGGATCACATTTTACATTCTTATGGGTGCTTAAACCCCATAGGGAATAAACATGTACATGTTTAATCCTATCCCAACCATGAACTAGGTGTTACTTTAGGGTCCTAAATAGTTAAATCATCACCGACACTATTTGGGGGGGTAGTTATAGATGTTATAGTACAATATACCCCAAAACCCTATTCTGATTATTAGGGCCACTATGTTGCGGGTTTTGGGTTTGCGGGTTCTGGGATTAGAGTCCGACCTTGTTCGGGTGTATCACGAAGCTACCAGTGGCCGCACGTTCCAGGAAGTCAGATGACATGGGAACCATCGCGACCGTACGCAGGGCCCGCCACTTAGTATCCTGCTGATATGTGAGCGTGTATACACCTTCCGGCGAGGCTTGTAAACTCTCTGCCAAAGCCCAGGAGACACCGTAAGCACCTCGACCCTAAACCACCGCAAGAATAACCCGAAACCGGGAACCATGAAGAATCAAAGGGTTCTCAGGAAGACCTACATAAGCCCCAATGCCTGCACAGACCTACCAGAACCCCGAGACCCCTAAAGACCCTTCGCGCTCGTAGGCCAATTGAACGTGGCTTCTGGAGTGTCCGAAGTAGTTCGCCGTCTAAAACCCGACACCCTATTTATTCTAAACCCTTCACCCCGATAAACCTTAAGCCCTGTAAACCTAAACCTTCTTGCTTCAGGTCTTCAAGTACCTGCGTGAAGGCCGGGACGCCGGCAGCCCAGAGGGCTATGTATAAGTGCATAAGGATAGTTGTTCTACATTGGGATCTTTTTTCGGTCTCCGAAATAGTATGGCACCCTTATGAAAAGATCCCCAAAAAGGAATCCTAATTTAGAGAACTATCGCGATACATATATATATATATATATATACAAAATATATACCCATACGTACATATATCCACTGATCGGAAGATCTGGTATTGGACTACTGACCCTTGAAAACACACGTGCGTTTCGAAGGAAGCGGTAGGTTTCGACATGCACGCCTGCCATCAACGTACGACCCACAACCCATCAACTCTTTAAGCAAGTGGGGATCGACCGCATTTGGCCCAGTGGGAATGGACCCTACTCCCAAGTTCAGTTAGGCCAGAATGATTGGGTCAGTGGGTTAATGCCTCCCAAGTCCATTTGACCAGAAGAACTGGTCCATGGGTTGGGACTACCGAGATGGTTCGAAACAGACAGGGAGTTTCGAAACAGCTCAGGGACCATGACAGTTGTAGCGCACAGGACAATGAGACAAACAGACAAGGACACAGGCAGGCGTACAGGGCACAATACCAGAATCAAGCGAAGTTGCGAAAAGGCAGCGGCGGGAATAACCATTATACACATAAATTTGATTATATACATATGTATATATATATATATATATGTTCTTATATATATATATATATATATATATGTGTGCATACCTTGTTATATGAATAGACATACAGTAAGAAGTATTCGTATGTATATATACTGATGTTATATTGAGCACCAAAAGCCGAAAGCCTGAAGCTTTCGACCCACGGTTTAGGGTTTAGGGTTTAGGGTTTAGGAGCAGAGGAATCTCCTGCATGGGTCCTATGTCCGTCTTAGAAGGTTGTTTGGGCCTAAAGATGTTTGGTTTCAGGCTTCTTTCGTGTAGGCCTTCGTTTCAAGCATGGTTTTAGATCACGTCTCAGGGCTTTATGGTACGTCTTCAGGAACTTGTTCAGCTCTCCCGTCCGACGAAGCCTCGTGGCATGATTCCCCCGAGCAAGCTTGCCGGAAATGTTTTCAGCCGCAGCCCCCAGGGCCAAGCGCCGACTGAGGTGATGTCTACGGCTACCTTCACAGAGGCTTGCATGAACTTGTGCAAACGTGGCAGTAGGAGGCGGAGGGCAATTGCACTACAGGGAGGAATCCTTCTGCAGAGTGGAGTACCGATTGTGACAATGATGGATGATGTTGATGATGATGATGATGATGATGATGGTGATGATGATGATGATGATGATAGTGGTGGTCGTGATAATGATGGTGATGATGACGATGGTGATGGTAATTTTGATGATTATGTTGTTGTTGCTGGTGATGATGATGGTGAAGATATTGGTGATGACGATGATGATTGATGATGATATTTTCTATTGTTGTCACGGTGATTCTTGATTGGATGGTCATGACGATCATGATGGTGATGGTGGTTTTATCATGATGATGTTGTCGCGCAATGATCCGTGGTCACAGCCGCTGTTACGATGACGGCATGTCGGGAATATGAATGAGATAATATCAGGTTTCTGGAATTGACATCGAGAAGCAAAAACCCAAGCCAGGCAACCCTAAACCATCCCAAGCCCTAAACCATTCGTAGACTTCTTAAGACAGCGAGCATTACGCTGTGGCACTAGCTAACCACGTCGCGACGACTTCGTGTGAGGATGGGTTGGTGCTGGTGATTATGATGCACGCGTCCCTATCAAAATACCTTGTGATGGTTTTGATGACCCTGGCAACCCAACCCGAACCAGGCCTTCAGCGGTGTCCTCTCGTCCGGAGTGGGGCTCATCGGCCGCTTGCCCGCAATGGCCACTGCGGTGTCAGGTCTGTAAGGCTCGGGATGCTTCCTCTGGAAGCAAAATCTCTCGTGCTGTACCGTTTTCTGTACCGTTTTTGATATAAAGGAGCAAAAGCCGTGGGACGATGAGCCTGGCAGCAGAGGTTTGTTTTGGGCGATGCGGCAATGCAAACCAAGCGAAATGAGCCAAAGCTTCACGGAGACAGGGAATTCTCGGACGGCTTGCGGGGAGCCACAGAGGCTATTGGCAAGCCTGAAACAGAGATGATGCGTACATGTGGCAGATGACGATAGCACGAACCATGAAGCACCCTTCTGCCAATGTGCCTCATGCTCCCGAAGTACTTCGCTCTGGTGTTCTTCCGTCAATGGTGCTTGTCCAAGATGAAACCACTTGGGAGTTTCCGAAAATTAGGGCTAAGTACCTTATTTTGAAGTGCTTTGTCTCAGGATCCTACCATTTAGGGTGCTATATTAGGGTCCCCTATTTTCGGAAACTCCCACTTCTCATTCCAGGCCTTGGCCTGTCCTACCACCTTCAGAGTGGTGTACCAGCTCCTTGTCTCTGTCGAACGTCAGGTTTCCAGAAGTGCATAGACTGTTTGTTCGCACCCATAGAAGACGGCGATTGCTTTGTCATGATGCCATGCAGCCTCATATTCTCATAACCTGGGTGAGGATGTGGTGGCATCTATTTGCATGGCATCCATCGCTGCAGCCTTGGCTGTCTCGCAGGGTCTCAGAGCAGTGCAGCCTTCACGATCGACTTGGAGACCTCCAATCATAGCCATTTGCACTTGATGATGGTACCCGATGTTGGTACTTTAGTTTTGTAATCACCCCATTTTGGTTCGCTATGATAGCTCCGGATGACAATCTTCGGATGCCTTTCCGTCCTTGGCAACGAGGTCAGCGGTGTCAGCGTCTTCCTCTTGCAGAAAAGCTTGTCTCTCAGGGTCAAGTGGGACAGGGCCAGAATCCTACTAGTAGCAGGCTGCGCTGTTGGAGACTGCATTTCCAGCTGTGCAACAGCATGACCGGTAGAGACTTGTCATGTCATTGTTGCGAATCTTGAACTATGGTTTAAAGATAGCAGGGTGAAGCCCGAAGCCCCAAACCCTGATCCCTAGCCCCACTAAACATCAAACTGGAGCTCCCCTTAAACACCAAAACCTGAAGGCATCTTTTACTGCCCAAGTGGTGGGCCTATGAGGTGGAAATGCCTTGCTGGGCGAGACGCTGCCTCGCTGGAGGGTGAAGGCCATTCTTTATCTGGCTCTGGCTCTAACCATTCCATTTCTATAGGCGTCTTATTAGTTACCGATACCATTTTGGGGGGTTCTTTATTATGATTATTGTAATTATAATGGGCCCCACGACCCTATTCTAAGTATCTAGGCTCCTAGATTAGAAGGGTTTGTACTATCCAGGCTACTATGAAGCTACTATACAGTAAGTTCTCCAACAGGCTCTATACGGGCTTTTACAACTAAATATGAAACTTGCTCATGATTATGAGGGCGATTATTGCGGTCACCATGAGGTCTATTGTCAAGGCGAGTACAAGGGTTATTAGAGGGGCTACTCGTTTCTATATGATGGATACTTTAATGGCAGCTGTTGTCATGCCCACGTGTCTCGCTTTTGATTTGAGTTCTATCCGCAACCATCAACCGTTGTCCCGAACGCAGCGTGCCCTCCATCGTTTTCGGGATCGAAGTTTCAGCACCTCGGAGACGGTAGAGTGATGATCCGCTGTTTTACACAGATACATGCGAGGAACCAGCAGTAAAGCGCGATAGTTGCAACACAGACCGCAATGCCATCGCTAGTTGTAAGTCTTCTTATAAAGCTATCAAATATCCAGGCGGACCCCCGTTTTTTGTTCAGTGGCCTCCACGCCGCCGTATGTTGGGGTCTAGAGATGGCCACAGTGGTGGCACTCTGGAAGAATGCTATGAGAACTGTCTAACCCTAAACCCTAAACTCTCAATTTCAAACCTTGTGGCTTCCGACATGGGTGGTTGTCAATATTATGGTCCTTTTTGGGTCCCTAATATAGTACGGCACCGAATACTTAGGATACCCAAACAGGGACCCTAACTTTGACAACCACCCAACATGGACCTGGAGCTTTACACCAAAGACTGAGGAGAAGACTGAAGTGACCAAAAGCGCAGCAAATTTGAAGAACCCAACGGGTCCTTTGTACTGTTATGGGGGATACTTCCCTAAGTCATAATAGTACTTCCTGAAATGGAAACCCTACATTCTACTATATCGGTACGTAGGACCCTTTGGGGAAGGGAGCTAACAAAAGAGCCGGGATTAGTAGCCCCCGTTATAAGTCTACTAGAATCATATTACAACACCCACCCACCACCCCCCATTCCAAAAAAAACAAATACCTGTTACAAAGTACCCGGAGACTCCAAAACCCTGTAATTGAGAAATATACCTTAAATTATAGTAAGATCCCTCAATGATTTAAGGAATATTCCATAATCATAAGGGGTTTTGGAGTCTCTGGGAACCTAAACCCTAAACCCTAAAGATCCCTTATAGGATCCCATAAAGGAGCCCTAACCCGAGGAATTTCCTTCATTTAAAGGGAGATTCTAGAAGCCGCCCGAAGTCCTGGGGCCTCTAAGGGCCCGGGCCGATGTCGGGGCTTGGCATTCTACGGCTTAGAATGTAGGATTGAAGATTCGAGTCGTATGGTTTAGGGTTTGTTTTGTTTCGTTGTTTAGGGTTTGGGCTTTCGAGTTTTATGGTTTGGGGTGATTTTGGGGTTTCGAGTTTTATTCTTTAGGGTTTGGGATTTCGGGGTGTGGGCCAGACCCCGGCCTTTCGCCAGGCCCTCATTGACAAGCTGGAAGCTCATGTCGCCGCCAGGGCCTTAAGCAAAAAGGACAAGGAAGCTCCTCAGCTGTCCTGTTCTGCGTGGACCGTCCAAATCTATGTTGATCGCCACACATCAGGTAGTCAACGTCTACGACGTGAAGCTCGGTGCCCAGCGACGAAAGCTGTTCATCCCTCCCCACCCCACGGGCTTCTATCCTCGAAGACGTTGCTATCCTCCGAGGACAGAGCTCGTGGGTGTGGATACTGTGAAGCCCTGAGCAGGAGCCAAGTTGGTGTGATTTTGGTGCTGCGGCAATTGCTCGACACCAGAATTTTCGATACCAGCAAGTCGGAAGAAGTTTGGAACGTGCAAGCCTGACACGCATCCCTGACCCAGGTGCGGTTCAAAGCTGAGGTGCAGTTCAACCCACAGGCAGCCGGTCCGGTCCTGTTGCAACTGTGTCCACTTGCATTCGTAACCAGAATGTATACAATATATGATTAGTCATACTGTACGACCTATAGCATATGACAGGATACACATCTTTGTATTCACACATACCAATACACATGACTCTTTTTGATATATATATATATATATATATGTATATATATATATATATATATATATGCATACACATAGCATACAAGATAGCATATCGTACAAGTATGCAGCATATATAGAGCATATTGCATATATAGGTAGGTATCCATGGTGCATGATCACCTTCAGTAGAGCATAGTACAACTTGATCGGACATGAGTGTATAGTTCACAGCATACATTATGTTGTAAGTAATGTATAACACAAACTGCAATGTATATAACACAATAACTCACACCAACATACATATATATATATATATACACATACATGTATACATCGATACCTACATACATACCGTCTACTGTATGATGCCGGGACCTGTGATATAGTTCATATTTTAACGGCCGTTTATAAAGGACAGCATGGATTAGAGAATGTGGGAAGAGTTTTCGTTTTTCAGCAAATGTGAAATATGCAAGACTCGTATGCAAACAACGGATCACTGTGGTCGCCAAGATGCAGCCACCAGAAACTCCTACGCAGCTCTGCCAACTAGCTATCATGTATGCAGGAGCATTAGACGAACTACAAGACAAAACCAATGAATGGCTGCAACAAGCGCTGGTACTGGTGGTTGTAGCGTTGGTACTACTGGTAATAGCAGCGCGAGTGGTGGTGGTAGTAGTAGTAGTAGTCGTAGTAGTAGTAGTAGTAGTAGTAGTAGTAGTAGTAGTAGTAGTAGCAGTAGCAGTAGCAGTAGCAGTAGTAGTAGTAGTAGTAGTAGTAGTAGTAGTAGTAGTCGTAGCCGTAGTAGTCGTAGTCGTAGTCGTAGTGGTAGTCGTAGTCGTCGTAGTAGTGGTAGTAGTAGTAGTAGTAGTAGTAGTAGTAGTGGTTGTGGTAGTGGTAGTGGTAGTGGTAGTGGTAGTGGTAGTGGTAGTGGTAGTGGTAGTAGTAGTAGTAGTAGTAGCAGCAGGTTCAGCAGAAGCAGTAGCACTAGCAGTAAACTAGTTGTATAGAAACATATTTCGATATGTTTCTGAAGCTCTGCTTCTGGAGCCGTGAAAGCTCGCCCATGATGTGGCCCTGTGTCATGGGAGCAGAGCCTTAGTTTCAGGGGATGTTGAAGTATCGAATCTTATTATCTCTATAAAGTTTGCCAACACTATTCCGCATGGTTGCCGATTCTAGTTACGGCAAAGATTATGCCCCCGCTGCATTGGACTCAGTTGTGAGTTTCGTCCGAGAATAGAGAATAGATAGTACAGAATATGTAATGCATAGTATATGGCATATAGTTTACAACATACCAAGTCAATATTGAGATATAGTATAAAGACTATGTGTATATATGTATGTATATATACATACATACAAAAGACAATAGCGAGTATAAAGGATATACTTTAGAATGCAGAGTAATATCTTGGTGGCGTGCGGGCCAGGCGATCACTGAGCGCATACTGCAGCTCAACACTGCCGAGGAGGCTCAAATTGAGCTCAGGAGGTTTAGGGGTTTAGGGTTTAGGGTTTATACAGGGTTTAGGGGTTTAGGGTTTAAGGCCCCTGTCTAAACCCTAAACCATGAACCCCAAGGTGAGACCATGTCTGCAGGCGAATGCAGGTCTATAGTCGAAGAGACGACGTGGTGGTAAGCAATGGAAAATGGAGGAGGAGAAGTCTTCACCAACACCCCCGCCACCGGCGCCGCCACCACCACCACCACCACCACCACCACCACCACCACCACCACCACCACCACCACCACCACCACCACCACCACCACCACCACCACCACCACCACCACCACCACCACCATAACCACCAGGTTTTCTTTTGCCAGCTTGATACTCACACAATTGGTCATCCTGGTCATTGACACCCCGGTGATGGCAATCCTCATGGTCAAGAGGCTCTTCTTCTTCAACAATGGACAAGAGCATCAGCATGGTCATCAGTCATCTGTGTTTCACAACTCTCGTGATAGTATCAGTATCGCCAACACACACCCGACATCACCATGATGCGAGCATGAGTTCGACAACGCCCTGGACTCCAAATATGAATTCACGAATACTCTCGCACTATCAGCTGCAGCCATGACGTCGGATCAGTTTTTTTTTTGTTTTTCAGTTTTTGGATTTCTCATCTCCCCTCCTCCTTCACTCGATATGCGCCGCCTGCGAGTCTAACTGAGCTGATCCACAGAGTTTGAGAGACCCTTATCTTATAGTATCCCTCAGAAGCCCTTCCCCTGAACCTCTGCAGACTTTCGAAGAGAGCTTGTGTTGGGTACTGAGCCCACTCTGCAACAGCTAGTTCGTATTTGTAATATGCGTCTACATCACCTTTATTGTATAGAAACCCTAAGCCCAGTATATAAAAAACAACAGTATAGACTGTTGCAGCTTGGGGGGCAACACCCAAAGTTTGTGACAGGAGCCGGATCCATCAGGTCGGTGCCCTGCTCCGGAGTTTGCAGCAGGGTCACAGTTCTTAGGAGTTGGACATTAATTAGGGCTTGTACATAGGAGTGTAAGGTTTAGGGTTTCGGGCTCAGGGTTTAAGGTTGAGGGTTCTGCGGTAGCGGAGCAGGATGCACTACAATGCGCTGCACTTCCAGACTGAATAGCCGGCTTTCAGATCCAAACTCTGCGTGGAGGCATGGACGCTCACGTGGCGCATGCCGTGCTGGCATCCCAACTGCAGGGTATTATTCCCCAGGCCTGCGAGATGGCTGTCCTTGTTGGAATGGTTGAGTTTTTGCATGACAAGGGTTTGTACACGAGTGCGAGGTCGGTTGCACCGCATCTTCAGTATATTGTTAGATGGCTGGCAGACTGGTCATTAGTGCTGCGCAGTATACTTTCAAGCGAAGACAGTCGCTAGCGTGCTAGAGCCATCTGCACTTCGATGTTGCAACTCTTTGCTCGCTGTCTGGCTCACAGACGCTGACTCTAGGCATCGCTTCGGACCCCGAAAGCAGAAGGCATCCTTGTAAGATCCACCTGCCACCTGAGTTTCTTAGTTGATCCGTCTGTCTTTAGCTTCACAGCTTCACGACTTCCATCTCGACTGCGTCATCCGGCCTACTTCTTGTCTTGAGGCTGGGGGCTCACTGATCAGTGCGCGCCACCATTGCCTTAGTTCGGATGCTTGGCTTTCTCCGAACCGTTCGTGCCGGCATCTGGTCCTTCCTCGGCACCCTCAGCCAATACGTGGGGTCCCCAGAGCCTGTGCTTTTTTCACAGGCGGCTTCCCAGATAGTAAGACAGTAATTCTTGCAGAATCAGATGCTGCTGGCAACGATGCACCAGTCGAAGCGGACTAAGGTTGTAGACAGGAGCACTATGAACCATCCCAGCGGCATGGTGTGTTCCAGTGCGACAAGATTACACCCATCATCGCAACATGTCGCCATCTTGTCACGATTGAAATATTTCCTGCAGATACTGCATTGTGTCGGCATCTTCCGGGTACCCCGGGTACCCCTCACGACTGTATGTTGTAGTCGTCATGTTCATCAACATCATCAAACAGTACCACGTCATCACTCCGCCACCAGTATCACAATTACAATCGTCATTGTTTTCTTCTTCCTCTTCAGCATCATCACCATTATCATCAATAGGCTTCTTCGCCATGGTCATCGCAAAAGTCACAGTTTACTTGGGCCAGCATCCAATCTCTCACCATTCCTTGGGACCTTATGCTGCGCATGTATGACACCAGTCAGTAAAATGCAACATCCACGGCCCCTGCATCAGCAAATCCTGAACAGGTTTTCCCGAACCCCATCTTGACCACCAATCTTCTTGTCCCGATCCCCAACCACGTACGCGACCCTCGCTTAGGGATTGGGCTTCTGGTCCTTCATGGCCCACACTGCTCGTGGTGGTACCTTGCGCCTGGGCCGGAGCGACGAGGACCTGACGGATCTCCCTCCTTTCGACCTTAGGTTGTGTGCAGGAAGTGTAGGATTCTGCAAGCTTTGGTTCAGAGGAATAGTGGTCTTTGACGTATAGTTGTGGGCGATCGTCGTCGTGGCCTCGTCGTGGTCGTAGAGCAGCAGCAGCAGCAGCAGCAGCAGCAGCAGCAGCAGTAGAAGTGGCAGTGGCAGTACAAGTAGCAGGAGCAGTGGCAGCAGCAGCAGGAGCAGTAGTAGCAGTAGTAGCCGTAGTAGCAGTAGTAGTAGCAGCAGCAGCAGTAGCAGCAGAAGCAGTAGTAGCAGTAGAAGCAGTAGTTGCAGTAATAGTGGAGTAGTAGGAGTAGTAGGAGAAGTAGGGGTCGGAGGAGTAGTAGGAGTAATAGTCGTAGTTGTTGTAGTAGGAGTAGCTGTCGTCGTAGGGGTAGTGGTAGTGGTACAGGTAGCGATAGTGGTTGGGGAAGTGGCAGTGGCAGTGGTAGTAGGTGGTAGGAGGTGGTAGTAGTAGTAGTAGTAGTAGTAGTAGTAGTCGTAGTCGTAGTCGTAGTAGTAGTAGTAGTAGAAGTAGTAGTAGTAGTAGTAGTAGTAGTAGGAGTAGCAGTAGTAGTAGTAGTAGTAGTAGTAGTAGTAGTAGAAGTAGTAGTAGTAGTAGTAGTAGTCGTCGTCGTAGTAGTAGTAGAAGTAGCAGTGGTAGTGGTAGTAGGAGGAGTGGTAGTGGCAGTGACAGTCTTAGTGGTAGTGGTAGTAGGAGGAGGAGTAGTAGTAGTAGTGGTGGTAGTGGTAGTGGTGGTGGTAGTGGTAGTGGTAGTGGTAGCGGCAGTGGCAGTGGCAGTGGCAGTGGGCAGTGGCAGTGGTCGGCCACTCGTATGGGCTGTAATGTGAATCTAGTGTCATGCTCATTACTGAGTAGTGGTTTCAAAGTGGTGAGGGGGCAGCAATCGGAGGCTTGCAGGATTGTGAGGCTGGTCTTTTGCAACTTGGGTTGCTGCAGATAGATCGGAAACTGTCGTATTCCCCTGAGCCCCAAAACCCCTCGTCAGGCACCCCATCCTCGACCCCTGCGAAAACTGTGAGGAGGATGCTCGCAGCCCGCTCTGCGAGGAGAACCCGAGCTTTTCCAAGGCCGCGGAGGAGAGTCGAAGACTACAACTTGATGTAATATATGGGCCTAAGTACTTACCTATACTATTTTGGGGTTTCTTTATTCAATGTATAGTAAAATGGGCCCCGAAACCCTATTCTTATCAATTGTTAAGGCCCCAAATTTTGCAACTTTGCGATGGCCATCATGCTGGTCCGTAGCATCATGGCCGTCATGAGATGATGTTCTTACCTTCACCATTCGACTGTGGACTCCCCCAATGACCAACGAGCTCCATATGGGTGGCTGTCAACATTAGGGTCCCTTTTTGGGTCCTTATTATAATACGGCACCTAATATTTAGAATACCCCAAAAGGGACCTTAATTTTGACAACCACCCATATAAGTATGACAGAAACTCAGAAGGAGGATGAGAACATCGTGAACGACACGAACGACACCAACGAGATCAGAGAGATCCAGATGGAGGCGATGGAGACTCCTCCCAAAGGGTCCTTTGTACTGTTATGGGGGATACTTCCCTAAGTCATAATAGTACTTCCTAATATGGAAACCCTACATTCTACTATATCGGTACACAGGACCCTTTGGGCCTTTGTTAGCCTTTGAAGATGTGGGAGTTTCCGAAAATAGGGGGACTCTTATATAGCACCCTGAAGAAAGAATAGGATCCTTACTATAAGGACCCAAAATGAACTCCCATGTGGGTGTAGGCCTTCTGAGCTGGCTTCCCGCCGAAGTGCGCTAGGCCGCGAAAGCTTCAATGCTGCAGCCCTCATTTAGATGCCCAACGCCATTACAAAGAATATGCAACATTGAATGGAATTTTTTGAATACAAATACAAATACTAATTCTAATCCTAATACCACTGTTAATACTAGCACTTATTTAAATCTGACTTTCCTTGGAACTGCAAATCCCAATGTAGGTATGCATATACATATGTATGCAGAGAGAGAGAGAGAGAGAGAGAGAGAGAGAGAGAGATGGCCATTTTGGCTCAAGTCGCTCGCCTGCCTGCTCCTCGGAGCGGGTCGCTTTTCGGCCGGCCCCTCGAGACCACAGAGGGTTATCTCTGTGGGCTTGGGGGTGGACGTGCCGAGGGCGGGGGGTGGCTTGAGGCCTTTCGCCGTAACATGTCGGGCTCTCAAGTGCCCAAGGGGTCGCGAAGACCTCTCCTGAAACCGGCCCTCTCCGGAGGTGGCCCGGTAGTAGGGAGGGGCAACATGCCACTTGATGGAGGAACTCAGAGTGAAGACGCGACACCAGGGGGAGAACCACAGCGTTCAAAAGGGCAACAGCGAGATCAAGCTGCTCGACCACCTCTCCCTCGCAGGCGACCTCAACCAGACGCTAAAGAGGGACTAGACTGGACGGGGGACACGAAGCCCGGCATGAACGTGATAGTGGCAGGGACACCGAGAAGGCAAAGGACACCCGTGGCCGACGACGACCCAGACGCAGCTGCAGCACCGCGGAGGCACAGGACAGCAAGTGCCAACGACGACCCAGGACCAAAGGACGACGACACAGCTGCAGCACCTCGAAGGCACAGGTGAGAGAAGTGAGCGCCGACTACAAAGGCGAGGCACCAGTGGCTACAAGTTTTGGGACATATGTCTGATGTACACCCATGCAACTCGCCGGGGACACCCGGATCCGTGAACAACACCTCTGCCACCGGTGGAAAAAGTGAACGCGACACTCTGAAGCCACCTAACTTACCTTTTAATTTGTGTTGAGGGGCACCCGCTCATTTCCATGAACCCTAGAATGGTGTGCCAACAGCTTGCATAAGACTTGCATGGCCGTTAATTCAAGCACGTTTTTCCCCTCGTACACACAGCCTTTTACATACCAGATTCTTAACAGTGCCGGTGCGAGCAAACAAACACCCCATACGGGGAACACAGTTTCGGAGCACCCTTTGCTATGTAAGTCAGTCTTGTATAGACCGAGCCCATCCTTTCCAAATGATGGATGGGGTAGCGCACTCGCGCGGGACGGGGGGACTGCTCCCGTCTCAAACCCCGAGCAAAGCAAAGCAAAGAGAGAGAGAGAGAGATGCCAAAACCTTGTAACTTACATGGGTTTTCATCCTGCGTGTTTCTCACAGACGATGACGAATGATTCAGGCCCCTCATATTTTACCCTCAACCTAAGTTTCTTTGGAGGCGCCCGGAAGCGAAAGCAACGCGAAGTCCTGGACTGCCTGGGGTGAAGACAACGCTGTGACTTAGTGGCACTGTGGGTTTTGTGTGTGTGAAAAAAAGCAAGTGTTTGCATGTGTGTGTGTGTCTAGGGAGCCAAGGGCACTTATTGGTTTTTTCAGGTCTATAGCCTTTAGGCTTTCAGGTTTTGAGGGGTGTCTTTAGTGCTCAAGGGTTTGAGGGTTCATGGTCTTCCGGGCGCAGGAAGGCTTTCGGGGTTCCCAGGGTTTTACGCTTGATGCGTGGGTGTGGGCGTGTCGGCCAACTCCTATGACCCGGACGAGACCTAGCCCTTCAAGCCTTAAGCTAACATTCCGCTGGGTTCCTTGTGCAGTTTCGAAAAAACGTATCCCGAGACAGTTTTCGGATGGTTCAGGTCCTTGTATTGCCGCAAACTTGATTCCTGAAGTAGAGGGTTTAAGGGCTCGAGGATATTTTTCGGTTTAGATCTTGAGTGTTTGACTTCCATGTATGGTTAAGGCTTA